GACCCGGCCCCCAACCATTAAACAGCAGAAACAATAACCAGATCCCCCACAGCCTTCTCTCCTTCTCCAGCCTGAACAAACACAGCTTCCACAGCCTGTGCTGTTACGTGAACACACCCTGCCAGCTCTCGTCACTTCTGTATTCACTGTTTTAGAGTTACAGCACCAATTATTTAACACCCTGCTCGCTATTCGTTGCGGCAGGTGCACCCACCCCCATCCAGACCTGAAAATGACCAGGTCTTTCAGGAGACCAGAAAAAACACCCGGCTGCTGCTGGTGCCAACTTAATTAACAATGACCACAGGCCAGACTCGATTTAGGTATGAACGGCATCCCGCCAGAGAGCTGATTTGAGTCGGTTCTTCTCGGAGCAGCAGGTATGCAGTCAGGGACTCTCCCCTTGAGCTGGGACACTGTCTGAGGAAACTCCCCGGGGTTGAGTGCCTCACCCCCCCATCTTGGATGACTGATTTCTTCTGGATATATCCTTGAGTGAGCCCTCGCCCTTTTGGGTGAGTGATGATAGCCTTTGGGTACCATACCCTTGAGAAAGATTTTTCCCCCTTTCATTAGTGAACAAGTACACATTTTGGATGTGCCTGTTTGAGTAATTTAGGAATTCTTTAGACAGCTGAGTAGTAATATATTCCCAACTGACATCCAAACCTTATTTGTCTATAGGAGGGATATCTAACTTTAGTTAGAATAAATCCACATTTTTGGAGTAGTTGCTCTGTCTGTTTTGTGAGTGCCTCTGCCTGGCTTCCACACTTGCAGTTTGCTCAGGTCTGTAGGGGTGTTCAAGTGACTGCTCTGCTTGTTGTGTGGGTGCCTCCATGACATTCATCACCTGTACATTGAAACTCTTCTTCACCCTTGACTGACAAAATCGAGCTGAAGATGATGGTGATGATAACGAAACTTTTAAAGAGAAAGCAGCAAGAATGCTCACACTGAAAGATTTGTTAAGCGTTCAGCCTCACAGATGAATCGGCTGAGTTTGACAGAGAGAAAGTTTTCTTCATAAAAATTAAGATAATGGGGAAGAAGAAAATCCAGGACTTGAGGCAAACACAAATACACAAGGAGTGTGCACGGGGAGGAGGGTGGAGACAAGGATCATCAACTGGAGAAAATACTGGATTTTCAGAGGCTGAGATGCACCTTACGTTAATTGTATTAAACAAATTGTTTTGCTGACTGTCAAGCAGTTAATCATTGCACTTTTCAGGAATGTATTTTTTCAAGTGGGAAAACATGTGCATATAGGTCACCTGCCTCTCCTAACTGGGAAGACTGAGACTCTGTCTTCCGTATACCCCTCCCACCTTTACATAAAGGAGGACTACAATTAGATACCGCCTCATCACCTTCTCTAGGTGGAAAAACCCTGTTCCTCAGCCTCTCACAATCAATCTGCCATGTGCTCCAGCCACCTATGTTTGATTCCCACCCCTATTTTCAAAATCAAACAAATTTGAGGGAGGAAAAGCAGTAAGTTCCTATAGATTTAATGACAATATGCAGCCCCTAGTGTCTCTCCTCTTTAACTCTGATAAAAGGCTGCAGATGGGCCTATTTCATTACCTACCAAAAAGACAAACAAGGAAGAGATCACATCAATATACCAGCAATGAGAAAGGCTTAACAACAAAGTTATAATCAACTATAAAACTCACCTCAACAGAATCCAGCTAACAGAATTACTTAATTATATTAATCTACTGTAATAGTGTAGATAAAGACGGGCTCATGAACAGTTCATATACAGCACTGTAAGACCACACAGGTCTTCTACTACTGATACGTTACTGTGGCTGGACAGAACGTTTAAAGTTCGTTTCAGAACAACCGCATTCTGAATGAAGAAATAGCAGCAAGGACCCTTATGCAGGCTTTTCAACTAAAATGCCTTACTAAAGCACGCCTTCTTAAAAGCGAAGCAGAAAAACGTTAACATAATGTTAATCGTCCAGCGCTATATTACGGCTCTCGGGCACTGTGAGGCTTCCAAGATCACGGCCAGGCGAACGCAGCGACCCGCCCGCATGACAAGAACCATACCTAGCAGCAAGGCGTGGCTTTAACACCTCTGCCAAGACGCAACATCTAAACGACCGACGTCCTCTTCCCCTTGCGAAGGCACTGCAAGGGCTGCTCCCCCCCTTTCCCAAAGCCCTGCGCTGCCGAACGCGCCCGCCACCGTCCCTCTCGCCCTCTCCGAGCTTCTCCCACTGCCGTCCGGGGCTTCCGCGGAGCGTCCCCCCAGGGAAGGCCGAGAGCTGGACGCCGAGCCCTCTCCGCGTCTCCCCGCCACCTCCCCTCGGCGAGGCGT